GTGATGGAGCTAGTAGTCATGGGTTGTAAGGCTATCCAGAAGGCCTCGAATTCAAACTCTGGGAGCGGCAGCCCGTATACCCCCGCCCACGTAATCCATAACTGGAAGGGCCCGCATCGTATACGTCGGTTTCAATCTTGGGAGCTTCGGTTCTCTCAGGCGGACCCCTCATGACCGATGGACCCAAGACAGACCCGGTGCGCGCTGCGTATATTTGGTACTCCTACTATCAACCCCGGTGGTCTTTTGATCCAGTAACCATGCTCTACGCCATCAGTGGCCTCGGCGGCCGCTTTTCTTACGGAAATGCCTATGGTTATAACACCGTTATCCTAAACGGAGAGAATGGCTGCCATGGTTGTAACAGGGGGGGACTTGCGCCGACTCTTCAAACGCCCCAAGCTCCTCACCAGTTCCCCCCCCCTTCCCACACACACCGGCGCTCCCCTCCTCCCCAAGACGAGACAGCAAAAAGTCAAAGTAGGACGCTCTTCGCTTTTACCGCCTTTTTACCGCGCCTTGCGTCGAACGCCATTGGGCCGGATCGGAGCGGACTTCTGGACGGCACTAACGCCGCCGTCCAGCTGCAAGCGTGCATCAAGCTCGCATCTTGTTTTTGTTTTTTTACGGTTTTTCTTCTCGTCTCGACTTGCGTGCGTGCGTGCGTGCGCATATCGGTTAGTAGGCCCTTGACATGTGAGAGAGACACTCTAGAGGCACCAACCCCCGCGCTGTCTCATCGTTTTCGACGTTTTCACGTTTTCGGAAGCCGGCCGTTGCGGTGAGAGACGGGGGCGCGCGGCCGGTCAGCCTCCGGCCAAAAAAGCTAGCGTCGGGCGCTACTGGCCGAGCACACCGAACCCGCCCGCCAGCCCTCGCGCACCACCAACCCCCACGAACCACAGACTGACCCGATCTCCGGCAAGATGCAACCTAGATCATCTGGTTGTCGACTCTTCAGAGAAAGAAAGAAAAAGAAAAGAAAAAAAAAATCTCGTTGTGAGGCCCCCGTACGAATCAAGGTATACAGGGGCTGGTCGCTTCGTCCTGCAGGGTGGGCATGTGAGCCGACACCCTTGTCCGGCACCATCCGCTGTCGTGCAGCTTCAGGTATGTAGTTTGACTTCAGCCTCAGATCAAGGCCCGTTCAGAATCGGGGACCCGGATCTGAAGGCTGGCTTGGCTTAGCTGGCTGGCCTGCCGCGCCCCTCGTGACTCCCGTCCCGGCACGTCAGATATGGCGGCATCTAACTTGCATGTGGCATGCATGTGGTCTGGTCGAAACGGCCGCCTATCCGCCCTAGGGATTCCGGCCTTCAATGGGACCACCTATCGTGCTGTGCTCCCTACCCATTTCATTACGTCTCATGTCGCACACGTCGATATTTCCGTACAGTCGAGGCAGCTCGACTGCATCGCGACTTTGATTGGTGCCCGCGATGCGTCGAAGCCCCGCGTCCTCCAAGCCTCGCCGTCCGTTCACACCGCGCCAGTGGCCGCCGCCGTGCCAGTCTAGGAGTCTAGGTAGCATACCCCCGCAGTCACGGGAACGACTCTCGGACGGGATGAATAGCGTTGGATGTGGTCTCGTGCGCCCCAGCCCGTCACCCCGTCAGATAGAGCTCTCCCTTTCAGCGGCGGCAAAGACATGATGGGGAGACGCTAACGAGTAATGGGTAACGGGACGGGACAGGTGGGCACTCGGATCACCATGAGCGCGTGTTTGTCTTGGATGATTTTTATTTTCTTTCCTTCATGGAAGCTCGACCTTTTGCTTCTGAGTTCATTCTTCCAGACCCTTATTTCTCGTCATCTACATTCCCTCGTACAGATGACTCTGGAACGCTGTAAAAAAAAAAACACAAACGCACGCACACACGACCGCGATATGCTGACCGATTCCCATGCTGACCTTCCCGTCCTCCTCCTCCTCCGTCGCCGCCGCCGCTGTGTCCAGTCCGAAAAGACAAACGGATATTAAAAGACATTAGTTTATGTGGTTTTGAACCAGGACCCTGCTGTCGGTGGTTTCGATTCCGTCGCGCCCATATAAACGCCGAGCATGTGGTCGTACAAAGCTTTGTGCAACAAGAGGGGGGGAGGGGTAGTGAAAGAGCGGACGAGATAGAACACGCACGCAACACGGCATCTCTTTTTTCCCCCATTTTATCTTCAACCACTCCCTCCCCCCGAAATCTCAAAAAGTTGAGCTAGACCGCTCACTTAAAGCAGGAAAGCGAGGCCGCCAACCACACCACCGACGAGGACGGCCAGTCCGGCGCTGCGACCCATTTCCAGGGCGGCGGCGCCGCTGGAACCGGAGCCGGAACCGGAGCCAGAGCCGGAGCCAGAGGACGGCGAGCCTGGGATACCGGAGAAGACGGCGTTGGCCGACTCGGTGGCCGAAGCGGAGGCCGACGCGGTCGAGGTAACGTTCACGCGGGTGGGGTTCTGGGCGCCGCAGGGGTTGTTGACGCGGCAGTTGTTGGCGCATGTGTTGGCGCCGAGGCCGCACTTGGCGACGCACTGGTTGCCGTACTCCTGGCAGACGTGGAAGGGCAGCGTCAAGGAGTACTCGGACATGTTGGGCTGGTTGCCATTGCCGCAGATGCAGCCGTAGGTGAGTGATGCCTGGAGAGGGGAGTCGCGTCAGCGTCCGGCCCGTCTTCTTTTCCGTCCTTGGTTCGCGCCAGCGATTGGGGTTTTACTTACAGGGTCGCATGTGTTCACCTCGACGGGGTTAGAGGAGACCTCTTGGCAGATGACGGGGCACGAGTAGGTCTGGTCCTGGCACCAGCTCTCTGCAGCATCGTGTTAGCAGATCCGGACACATGCGCCTCGACGGAGGGGGGCAGCGTTTTCAGGACGTACTCCTTGTGGACAGAGAAACAGTGCTGGGGTCGATAACGTAGTCGGCGTGGGCGGTGGCGACGAAGGCCGCGACCACGGCGAAGAAGGTGCTCTTGAACGAAGGCATTTTATCTTGTGTGTGTGTGTGTGTATGTTGCGAGGTGTATGTGCTGGGCTGGAAGCCTTCGAGGGAGAAAAGGACGATTGGAAAAGTTGTCGAGTTGCGAGGCTGCAAAGGTTCTTCAAGGGAAAAAGAGTATTAATCTCGATCTGCCGGACTGTGTCCCCTGGTCAGCGAACCCGTCTGTGTGTGTTTATGGCGGCTTTCTGGCTGCATTCCTGAACTCTCCCAATCCGCCCCCCTAAAAGCCTATGCCTGCCCTAGACGGCCAGGCCAGCGAGAGTGGGATCCACTGAGGCAAGAGCCCATTTAACAGGCACATGGCTTTTTTTTGGGAGGGAGAAGGCGGGAGAGCGTGTTCTGGAGATACAAGCGAGGCGGTTTGAGGAATGGGGAGACGACGACACTACTTACGCGCTAAGAGTGTTTTGCAATTCGAGGCCGTGTGTTATGTTGCTGAGGAAATTAGACGGCGGTAGTTGGGCCCGAGAACGTATTAGTAGCGACAGTGGCGTAATATCGGGTGTGTGATGATTGTGAAGATGCTTCAACAGGAGAGCAGTAGTAAAAGGGGGGCTAGCGACAGATATATGTGCAGAACACGAGTCTGGGGGGGGAGAGAGAGAGGCTCCAACGGCAGGCAAGACACGACCAAGGGTTCGGGTAGGGATGTGTGGAAGGGAGGAGAAGAGGAAGAAGGGGAATGGGGTGGAATCGAAAGAGAAGCCGACTGGGGGGTGTGTGGGTTCATATGAAGCAAAAGAAAACCCGGTCGAGGCGTATCCGTAGCGTAGTGCGTCGGCGTGAGGAACCAGAGCGAGAGAGACAGAGAGGCCCGTGGAGAGAGAGAGAGAAAGGAGAGGTCGGAGCCAGGGCCATCTCTGCCAAGCGGATCTATGTAGCAATAGGGCACGCATTGGGAGGAGGGGGGAGCTTCTTTCCTCTGCTTCGCGAGGGTCCCAAAGAAAGGAGGCCCGGGGTCCCTGGACGGGCCGAGCTCACGATGGGTACTCTCTACCACATACGGATACACTGAGTAGTGTATATTTATGAACAGTATCCGTACAAATACGACATGAAGCGACACGGCATGGGAAGAATTCTGGGTGGGCCGAAGCGAGAGAATACGGGCGGAATTGGGTTTAGCACATTCTCCATGCCAGCCATCCGGCGGTTTTCCTGCTGGCCGGGGTGGCATGTCCGCTGGGGGGGGGGGGGTCCTGTTCATCCATTTGGCCAATCACAGTATGGGCTTCTCCGGGCTGGAGATATCATGGAGGGCAATACCTCGTATGTATCGTGTGCCCTGTACTTTGTAAAAGTGTACCTACCTAGTCTAGTATGGTTCCACCCTTGTCGGCGGGAGACGACGGACGGGGCTTGGGCGATAGCAAGCATTCGACTACTCCGTACCACTACACGTGTATTACGATATCTAGTGTATGGAGCCACGGCTCTGACAGATCGGATTGACAGACTCTGACCGACAGACAGCCATGAGGATGCGCAGATGCCGCCAAGGGGACCATGTATCGAAATGTCTGTCTCTTGCCGCCCTTGCCATCGGCCCTCGGGGAAGAGGGGAGAGGGGAGGGAAGGATGGTGTTGTTCCTCTGGCACCACCCTAGAGTGCCACATCCCTCAAGATCAAGGCAAGGCGAACAAGGCATCTAAGCTACAGACATGTCCTCCTGAGCTTATTGGAGTTGCTTTTTCGGTCGAGTTTGAGGCTTAGGAGCTTGGGAGTGGGAAGGGTTCAGTGGGCCGGACATGCATGCTTGCCTAGGGTGGACAAGGGGGGTGGATTGCTTCTCGCGGCGGCCGATGCTACCGGTAGTGCTGCAACTGGCTTTTGCTGTTTGTTTGTTTTTTTGTGCTGCTGCTTTTTATTTTTATTTTTATTTTGTTATTTGTTCGCTCTGGGGCTTACTAGTAGACTTGTTGTCGTCCATATCATTCATTCCTGCTACTGCTTGCCCCCCCCCAAACGCTTGTTGTTGACGCGCTGGGGGAGGGGTGATCGTCCAGTATTGCCTGCGCCCGGAGATGACCCTCTCTCCCTCCCATCTCTCTACAAACTGCGACCTTGCACCGCAGCTCACCCAAAACCCTTCTATGGCTCTTTTTTCTGCAGTGCACCGCAGTATGCGAGAGCCGTCGTTTGTGCGACGTCTCCCGGCCTTCTCTGCCGAGGACTTTGCAGCCTTGGACCGCCGGTCTTGAATGATATTGGGAGAGAGCCGGTCTGCTCATCCATCGTTGCCGATCATCCTGTCGCCCACGCCCCCCTCGTCTCGCCTCCCGCTAGTACGTGCATGCATATACTTGATGCTATCTTGTCTTTGTGCCCATCTTCCATCCGTCCATTCCACACCCAGCGGGCGGCTCTCTGCCCGCCTGCCAGCCCAGCCCGCGGCATCGGCCCAGCATTCCTGTGATGCCCCAAAAATACGCACTGGCGGCGCCATGTTCCGAATGTTTCTGCGCCGTCAACCAATCCACTGGGGGAGAGAGAGAGAGAGAGAGAGAGGCAGAGAGGCACGAGACTTCGCACGGCTTACGGGCCCCTCCACGGGAAAATAATACCAAGGCAAAAAGGCAGGTCGGATTCCACTTTACATGCCTGCTGACCTGGGTCCCGTTGCTGATTACGAGGTTGCAGAGCAGACTGTAACCATCGTTGCTGCTCTCTCCATCCCCATAAAACGCGGCGAGTGCGAGTTATGGCCCCCCCCCCCCCCCCCGCCGTTGTGCAATGCTACTTACTGCTGCTACGGTCGGTATGGCCCATGCCGTATTGGTATTGCTACCAGACTCTTTCTCTCCCCGCTCAAATAGACTCTCTTCTTAGTGTACAGCTTTACGACACCATTACAACCATTACCACCCTCACCACCATCACCATCACCACCGATAATACGCAACTGCCATAATACGAGGCAAGAGTCAGTCGTGCCTGCCTCTCTCCCTGGCGGACCTGTGTCCGATCAATACCCAACCCCAATCGATCGTTGGCTTTCTCCCCACGATTGGTCACGACGCCACTCGGTGCGTACGAGGACGTCGCTGCTCCCGGCGTCTTACTGGGGTGGGCCGATCGCCACTCGTATTCTGCAAGTCTGCACCTTCACCAACAGCCTCGTGCAGGATGGGCCGGTGCAGCTTGGCCGCTAGCTCTGCAGGCAAGAGCGCTCCGGCGGCGTCGACTGTTTGATAACCGATACACAGAGCACTTGGAGGAATGCACAGCACAGCACAGCACAGCACAGCACAGCACGGGTTTCCCGAGGCTGGAGGGGGTTGGGGGCGGAGGGTTCCTCGGGAATATCAAGCATTCCAAGTGGCTGGCCTCGCCCGGACGCTGGCGCCGTCTACCTTTTTCATGTACGGATCCTTTGTCTAGTATTGCCTCCCTCCGAGACAGACCATCTTCGGCGGTCGGCGCGCCGATCCAAGCGTCCCACGACGCCCCCCCGCAACGCCCCCTCCTCCGCGTGGGTGCTTGCTTGTTGGATGTGACACTCGTGGAGGACCCAGATCGAGCGCTGAGTAGCGCATGGTCCCGATTGGCAAAATATGTCTTTTTGGAGTGCTAATCTACTGAAGAAAGGGGGGCTATCTATGAGCCACACCGTCGTGGTTGTAGTCGTCCAAGGACATAAAGCCTCGCAGTCACAACTGAACTTGTCAACGTGCTAATCTACGATGAACCTATCTGTGGTGGTCCAAGTTCACGGTGCTCGGGTTCGATGGCCAATTGCCGCCACGTACCGGGAAAGCTTGACGGGCATCAATGGCGCACCGGGGTAGACGGGCGTACACTAGAATCGAACTGGAAGCCCGAACAAGCCCCCAGTCGGACAAGGTGCGCTAGGTGGGCTGGTTTCTCGAAGGTGCGGGGGGGAGGGGGACGCTTTCACCGACGGATATCGTGGTCCGGGGGTCGGTTCCCTCCGTCTGGTTTCCGAGGCACTGCAGGCGGCTCTCTCTGGGGTTGATATGCCATCGGTCCCGGCCGGGACTCTAGGTCGGCGAATGCAAAGGCCCAAGGACGCCATCAAGGATTCCACCACATCATACTTGGGCAACAAGCAGACAGAGGAACAAAGACAAGGTCTCGTCGTTGATAAGGCTGCCATTGTTCGAGGTACCCAAGGGTTCGATGGTCCAAGTGCGTGCAACGGGGCTCCCGGTGCTCATGGCGGCGGCTCGAATCTTCCATCCAATGATAGTACTTTACCTACCACCTCCGATCCACCTCGTCTGATGGCACATACGTTAGACTTTCGCTGACATGCTCTTTTCCGTATCCGGACCTATTGTTTTGCGCTGGGTTGGGTGTTCGTTGTCGGGATGGCGGTGGAAAGGAGACAACAATCCACCATCACATGCCTTGGCTGAGCATGATTCCCCCCTTGGTAAAGGGACAGACATTCCTTTCCTGCCCTGGGGGAACTACCTAGCAGAAGTGGGCGCAAAGAACGAGTCTCGGATCAGCTAGCTACCTACTACCTATTAGGTAAGCAAGGCACTGACAGGTGCGCCGCTTACTGCCACGCTTACGATGTACATGTATACCACACCCTCGGGCCACAAACAACAAAACAACAGCAACCATGTAGTATGTATATGCCTTCTTCTCTTCGGCGGGTCGGCTGGCAAGTGTTGTCAACTGCCTCGGATAGTCATTGACGATTGGTTCGCACTCCTTCCACCTCGTGACTTTCCTAGCGGATCGAACGGGCCGACTAATCGCCGTTGGCACGTTGCGCCGACGTCAACATCAGCATCCCATCCATCTCGGTCGTTTTGCACAGCCACGCGGCGCACCACCACCCACCCCCAACGGACCGAATCCTAGAAAGCGCCCCGAGACACACGTCTTTTATTCGAGCCATCTTAGGCTCTGCTGATAAGGTCCAATACGTCACAACCCCTCTGCAAGCACCCCACGACCAACGCCAGCAACGAACTAACAAACGAACAAACGAACGCGACTGAGATCGCAGCCCACGACCTTGCTGACCCATGAGGTAGCGACCTCGCACATGGATTCATGGAATCGGCGATAGAATCCCAGTTCCGCCCCGGCCACGTCAACGGCGGCGGCGCAAACGGCCGCCCAAAGCCCCCGCCCAAGGTCGCCGCGCACGGGGCAATTGGAGAATTGCCGTCACGCCAGAACGACAATGAGACATCGCGCGGAGGGTTGTTCGGGGACGACGGGGACGACGACACCGAGTCGCACACCGGATCCTCCGTCACGAGCCCGTCGGTGACGTCGCCCCCGTACTGGCTCGGCCACCACCAGCGCTCCGCGTCCAACATGTCGGCCGAGTCGGTCCTCCCCGACGGCGCAATCACCATGTGCGACAACGAAGCGAGCGGTTTCAACGGCCGCAACCTGGCCTGCTGGGCCAAGAGCGTCGAGATCACCGACTACGTGGTGGTGAACGGCAGCGCGACAAACATCGGGGCCTTTGTCGTTTGGAACATCAGGGTAGAGACGCTGCAGGTTAGTATCATCACCCCCTCTTTCATCGTACTCGCGACCTGGAACGCGGAGGGGCCGTGGGGAGTGTGGGGGGGTACCAACGTGCGACCTGCCATGTGCTGACATTCCGCCACGAAGGGGAGCTACATGAACATCCGCAAGCGATATTCCGAGTTTGACGAGCTCCGCGAGAGACTGGTCAAGACGTTTCCCAACTTCGAGGCGGCCGTGCCTCCTCTACCTCGCAAGAGCGTGATATCCAAATTCCGGCCGAGATTCCTCGACAAGAGGAGATCAGGTCTCCAATACTTTCTCAAGTGCGTGTGCGAACAAACGAGAGGTTGTCGGTTCTGTTCGTTGCTGACCCGCGACAGTTGTATAATGTTGAACCCCGAGTTCTCCAGCTCGCCAGTGCTCAAAGACTTCCTTTTCTCGTAACACACGCACACACACACACACACACACACACACACACACACACACACACACACACACACACACACACACACACATCAAAATGTACAGCACCGACTCTACGCACATTACTCTTCTCGTTGTACATTTTCTAGGGCATGGCGGTGAATACGGGTGCAGCAATGCGGGGGACATGGCTGCTGATCGTCAGTAACAAACGAGGTGGATATACACAGTGGTCCCAGGCCGCAGAGCAAGAGAGAAAAGGGAGAGAATACAATAATGATAATGTGTTGCACGACATTTAACCTTGACTTTTACCGGATGCGGTCGAAAAGGTGGCTCGTATGCGGCCGTTGGGTCATCGGGGGCCGCCAAGCCCGTTGCCGAAAAGGTTTCGGCGACCGTGGGGGCATGACAGAAACAGGTAAAGACGCTGGACGCAGAAGTGCACCGCCGGAGGTGTGTGGCCCGTGACGATGTGCTGTCCACGCCGGCGGGAGATGGACTAGGTAAGCTTGGTTGGGGGATGGTCTACATACCCCACAGATTGACGCGTAATGTTCAGCAGGGCTGCAGGGGCGACGGTTTTTTTTTGTGGGGGGGGGGAGGGGCGGCCCCTCGACAATATGGGGATCGCCCATCGACGAGCTGTTTTTCCGCGAGCTCAACCTCCCGCGCGCAAAGAGGTCC